TTTAAAGCTTTTCCTTTGGCAGATGCAGCAGCAAAGCTTTCCTAAGTTCCCATCTTTGTCCTTATCCCAGCAATGTGCTAAGTGTGCTTCCAAAGTCTTAGCAAGAGGGACATTTCTTGGTTTCAGTATTTTAGTAAGTGTGGCAGAAATGACCATCAATATAAATCTCTACAGGGCGCCAGACATGGTGGCACACGTCTTTAACTCTATCTAGCACATGGGATTAAAGGATCCACAGAGGCCAGGCTGTGACACAGAGAAACTGTCTTTAAAAAAAAAAAAAAAAAAACCGGAACAAAATAAACCAAAAACAGCATGGCAAAAAACATTATTTGATTTTAATTGGCATGATAACACCGCCCCCCTAAACCAACCAACCAAAAACCCTGCAGATAGTCGTGGTAGTGCACACTTGTGATCCAAGTAGTCAAGAATCAAGGTCTGTCTGAATTACACACTGAGACTGTCTCAAAAATGTGAGGTTGTTGGAGAGACAGCTATGCAGTTAAGAACATCTGCTACAGCCAGGCAACACCGATAATGGTAGTCTTGCACACCTTTAATCCCAGTATTCCAGAGACAGAGGCAGGTGGATTTCTGAGTTCAAGGCCAGCCTGGTCCACAGAGCTAGTTCCATGACAGCCAGGGCTACACAAAGAAACCGTGTTGCTCCTCCCCCCCCCCCTGCCCGCCCCCCCCCCCACACACACAAAAAGGTACTTGCTACTGCACAGGACCCGAGTTCAGTTCCCTGGTCCCACAGGGCGGCTTACAAGTGTATAATTCTAATTCCAGGGGATCTGTTGCCCTCTTCTGGCCTCCATGGGCACCACACTATGGTGATATTTTATTTGTACTGAAATGTGATTTTAATTTTATGTTAATAAATAAAGTTGCCCTGGGGTCAGAGCTATTAGAGCCATAGTAAGAGCGTGGTGGTTAGAAGAGCTAGGTAGATTTCTGTGTGTTCAGGGATACAGCCAGTATTGGAGACATACGCCTTTAAGACCTGGAGGGCGGTACTTACAGGCAGTGATGAGGCAGTCATGTGGTTGGGTTTACAACCAATGAGAAGGCAGAACAGAAAGACTATTTAAACACAGACAAACAGGAAGTAGCTCTCTCTCGGGGAAGCTAGGAGCACTGCAGGAGGTAAGATTTTATCTCTGAGCTCTGACCTCTCGGCTTTCTCTTTTACATTGGCTCTGTGTTTCTTATTTTAAAAAGACGATTGGTTACATCTACACCACACACAGGTTGTGCACAGACATACATGCAAACAATACACACACAAAGTCCAATTCTTTTGGTATGTATACATACATGCACACATATACAACCTAAGTACCTTAATGATGCAAGGACAATGGGAATCACTGTCAATATCCAAGGACAGATCTTTCACAGAAAAACTAGCTGATTTCCTGGGTGTTTCATCAGAGAAGTGAGTCCACTGTAGCCAATTCTACTTCCCTACACGAGATCCTGGCACTCACAGTGATGGTATTAAAGAACATTGACCAGTCTCAATGCCTAACTAGTTCTCAAATATTTCATCTGTAAACCTAGGCCTCAGATATGGCTAATAGTTATAAAAGGAGTTTAAAGTTTAAGATTCCAAAACGTCATCAGGGCTAGTGCTTATAAACCAGCTAACCGCCTGACTTGAGAACCACGGAGGTAATGAAGTTTGAGAAGGGCCTTTGGTAGGGCTGTCATTCTCTTCTCACTAAACCACAGGACTACACGTATCCTCTGTGTATGTGCATACTTGTACATGTGTGCCCAAGGAGGCCAGAACTATTGGTACTCCTGGAGGTGGAGTCACGGGCAGCTGTAAACCGCCTGGTGTGGGTGCTGAACCCAGGTCCTCTCCAGAAACTGCTCCCACCCCCAATTTCAAGACCTTTAACTTGTGGTCTTTGAGAAACCAAAACCTTGTATTTTGTCTGAAACTTCTTTAACTGAATATGTTTTTTCAAAGCACAAACAAACCACTTGAAGAACACACCTCTTCAAATGAGTACTTTGAGTTTTGATTAAAAGGGAAAGCTGGAGATTAAATTAGCATTCGAGGAGCACAAGAAATCTTCACTGTTCATTCAGCATTACACTAAGACCCAGACCACCAATCACATCTTGTAGTTTTTTCAGTCACTGAGAAGTCATGGTGCATCCTTACTTTCTTTTTTTTTTTTTTTTTTTGGTTTTTCGAGACAGGGTTTCTCTGTGTAGCTT